TTGCTAGGAGAAAGAGGCAGGGTGGGCTGAATGCATTTGCAGGGAGAAAAGGGAGAATGGTAGCAAGGGAAGAGGTTGCATTTGCTGGGAGAAAGAGGCAATGTATGGTTGTGTGCAGGAAGAGAGAGAGGCAGCATATAGCAAGAGAATAGTTTTACTAATAAAACCAGAATCTCAGAAAGACTGCTTTTCTATCACTTGGCTCCGTAATGGAGTGGTGTGTCCTCTTTTCCTACCCCAACAACCTGAGCTCTGGAAAGGTAAGTGAGCAATCAGTGATGGAGGCGGGCAGGCAGGCAGGAGTGTACATAACTTTCAGGCTCGGTGCCTATGGAGATCTGCGTCAGGATGGGGGGAAATAGGCAGAGGGGGGGGAGATATGTTGCAGCGTCTCTGTGGTCAGCGCCGCTTCAGTTGTAAGGGCAAATGACCGCAGAGATGCTGCAACGTACACAATTTCAGGACTGGGTCCTAAGTACTTTTTGGGGTATCTGTCGTGACTTTGAACTGTTCCTAAGTGACCTATCATAACTCTAGGACTATCTGTATGTGCCTAGGCTCTAACACAAGAAAATTAGGGGGATTAAAGACTGGGATGGATGGGGTTTATTGCAATGAGTATGGCTTACACAAAAATATCTCTCCAATTTCTAAAATTCTACATTCATTAACTATGTGACTGTTTATAAGATGTACTGGAAAGGACTTTCTGGCAATCCTCAGTGGGAACCCTAATTTACACTGCCTGGTTGTAGAACTATCCATAAATGTATTGCACAGCACTCTATACCTACAGAAACAGTGCTTACGGTATCATTTCATCAAAAGAATTGACTTACCTTGCGGCTCTCACTGTAATTCTTCCCAAAAACAGTAGTACAACTGTAATATTTCGCCAGGGGATCCAGCAACTCTGGCTTCTGCTTAAACAACCAAATCTAGAAGGGAACCGAAACATTTCTTATTCCATGGGCTCTCCATTCAAGACACTCCATGACAGTGCTGAGAACATTTAACATCTCAGCACTGGGAGACTTTTCACAGAAAACAAGGAACGGGGTGATCTATCTAAGGGATGGCAGGAGGAAAGAAACACCTAAAGAAGATAACAAGCAGGTCAACCCAGAGCACAAGCAATAAAAGAGATGGAAGCATTGCTCAGGTTTTAAGAGAACTTGGCTGAAAGTTTGAGTTATTGAGTTTATCTGTGTTTGCTCTCGGAGATTTTGACTGGGTCAGAACAATAGGACAGGATAGAACCAAATGGCTACGTGGATGCCCTGAGCCATGGATGTATCTAAGAGCATTTTACCTGTGCTTCTGCTCCGTTGTACGGTATCAGAGTGTATGTAGGGGTGCACAGGCGTAGCTAGTAGAGCAAAAAAAAAAAGCAAAAAGTTAGTTTTCTCTTCCCCCATGAAAAAAACTGAACTAAAAAATCTGTTTCAAATGAATCAGTTTTACAATTTTACTAGCCATTTTAATATTCCTGACAGGAAATTCTCAAATAGGATTTGCACTGTGGGTACTACAGGATAGAATGGATGGGCAACTCTTTCTGAGCTAAGAACCTAGCTTGAATTTTAACATCATATAGTGGATGTATTCACAAAATAGCCACCATGGGAACCTTGCCACAATGGACACAGCCATAACAAAACAACCGTTTAATGGAAGGTAAGCCAGAAAGGTAGACTTCTTAATAAATATGATTCTAATGACAAGTGCCTCCTTTGGCAATATGCCAGCTTCCATTTAATAGCTTTGCAAAGGATTCCTTTACAGTCAAGCGGGCAGAGAATTTGTTGGGCACCAGTGTTTAGGAACACACTGGCAGGTATGAAATAGTTTGTCTCCATATAACGAAGTAAGAGATACTTTCAGTACATTTTTGTATTTTTCACATTATGCTGAATCCTGAGGTACAAATCAGTTTTTCCTATGATTCTTTATGAAACTGAATCAATCCTTCTCTCCCTCAAGTTTACATTTGTGATGCAATAATACTTCAAAAGGTACTTACCAGCCATAAGAAAGGGAAAAGCAGCTTCCAGAAAAGAGGGGACATCATTTCATATGTCATATTGGTCATTACAACACCTGGACACACGACACTTGAAAATAAACCCTAATGTGGAAAAAAGAGAGAGGGAAGCAATGGGAGGTGGAGAGAAGTTTATCATATAAAATATAATCACACTACACATAGTCATGCTCAGCTATGCCTGTTGACTAATACACACACAAAAAAGAAAATAAATTCTTTTCTAAGCCTCCTTTTCCAAAACAGTCTCTTCTGCGTTTTATGAATATAAATAGCAGAGAACTAAAATGGTGGTATTTGGCCTTGAGGCCAATAGAAAGGGACCTCCATAGAGTGAAATTGTTCTCCAGGCTTAGGGATCTTTTGGCAATGAAGTTGATTGTTGTTGGTCAAATGAGACAATTCTCCCCATGTCCTGGTGGGTCTTTCAGAATTATATAAGACATTGAAATTTAAGAGACCCGCCATTTAAATTTTACAACCTAAACTACATAATAGCACAAGCAGAGAATGGGCGTTGGTACCTACCTGATACGCCCGTTCTCGTCGAGCTGCGTAGAGCATCCAGATAGTGGGAGGTGCTCCAGTCTTCACTCTAACAGGCTGAGCTATAATTGAGGAACGCTCCTCCTCCTCCACGTGACTCCTCCATGCGTTCCCCCAGTTTTACGAAGACGAGAAGACAACAGCTATCCTCTCATGTCAACTATATTACAAGACTCAACTCTGAACTATATACATCATTGGCCGAAACAGGATTCCCCCCCCACCAGACGGACCAATTAGGGTGGGGCTGGATGCTCTACGCAGCTCGACGAGAACGGGCGTATCAGGTAGGTACCAACGCCCATTCTCCGTGGACCTGCTGCGAGCATCCAGATAGTGGGACATACCAAAGCCTGGCTTGTCCTACGGGAGGGACTCCGTCTGGTCCGGAATCACCTCTGGATCGTTTGCCACCTGTTGAAGGACTCGCCTGCCAAAGGAAGCCTCAGCAGAGGCGAAAACATCGATTTTATAGTGGCGTATGAATGGAGATGGAGACGCCCAGGTAGCTGCTCGACATATGTACTGAATTGACGCCTGAGTAGCCCAGGCAGCCGAGGTGGCCGCACTCCTTGTAGAGTGAGTGGTAATGCCACTAGGGACAGGAAGAGCCTGTGCTATATAGGCCTTGGATATAGTAGCCCTAATCCAACGGCCAACAGTAGACGGGGAAACCTTGCAACCCAGTGTCTTTGGCTGAAAAGACAGGAATAAGGATTCTGATTTTCTGATTGATTGAGTACGGTAGATGTAAATACGAAGAGCCCTTCGCACATCAAGAGTGTGCCACTGCCTTTCCCTTTCTCGAGAAGGCTTGGGGCAAAAATTAGGTAGGATCAATTCCTGGGATCTGTGAAAGGCCGAGTTGATTTTAGGCATAAAGGCGGGGTCTGGTCTCAGGACCACCCGATCAGCGTGGAAGACGCATAAGTCCTTTCTCACGGATAGAGCTGCTATTTCAGATATCCTTCTTGTTGATGTTATCGCCACCAGGAACACCACTTTGAGTGTGAGGAACTGAAGTGGCGCCTCCGAGAGGTTCGAAGGGAGGTTTAGTTAATGCCATAAGAACTTTATTAAGATCCCAGGTAGGATACCTGTGAATCACCGGAGAGCGTAGATTGGAAGCCCCTCTAAGGAAGGACCTTATGCGAGGGTGGTGTGAGAGTGAGCCAGAAGAACTGCTAGAGATCACCGTTGCCAGGGCTGCAACCTGCCTTCTCAGAGTGTTGGGGGAGAGACCCCTATCTAGCCCGGCCTGTAGGAAGGCTAGGAGTTGGGCGATTGAAGGCGAGAGCGGATCCACGGACGACTTACGGCACCACTGACAAAAGATACTCCAGGTTGCGTCATAAATGCGAGTAGTCGAAGGCCGCCTTGCTGCCAAGATGGTATCGATGACCTGGGCCGACAAACCCTCATCTTTTAATCTTTCCCGCTCAACCTCCAGACGGCTAGCTGAAGCCACTGCGGGTCTGGATGTTGAAGAGGACCCTGGGACAGAGAGATCCTGTTGAGGGGGATCCTCCACGGTGGGGCCACTGATAGATTGCGAAGATCCGCAAACCACGGTCTCCTGGGCCAAAACGGGGCTATCAGGAGGACCTCCGCCTGTTCGAGGATCAATTTCTGAATCACCCTGGGTATCAGCGGGAGGGGTGGGAAGGCATATAGAAGCCCGGTGGGCCAGGGGCAACGCAGGGCATCGTGATTCTCTGCGCCGTCAGCAGGATAACGAGAGAAGAACCTCGGTGTCTGGGCGTTGAGAGGAGATGTGAACAGGTCCACCACGGGCTGACCGAATCTCGCTGCTGCCTCCCTGAACAAGGAGGGGTGCAGGCGCCATTCCGATTGGTCCAGCTTGGCCCTGCTTAGCCAGTCTGCTTGGATGTTTGAGACCCTCGAGATGTGCTCTGCCCTGATGGATAAGAGATGTCTTTCTGCCCATCGACAGATTCGCTCGGCCTCTCTCATGAGACGAATGGAATGAGTGCCCCCTTGATGGTTGATGTGGGCCTTGGTGGTAGTGTTGTCTGTTAAAACCAGAATGTGACGGCCTCGTACCTGAGGGAGAAAGGCACGTAGAGCCAGATATACTGCATGCAGCTCCAGCCAGTTGATGCTGCAGCGTCGCTCGGTTGTTGACCAAGTTCCCTGAGCTGAAAACGATTGCATGTGAGCTCCCCATCCGTAAAGGCTGGCGTCTGTTGTGAGAGAGACCCTCTGGGGCTCCTTGAAGAGATGGCCTCGGTTGGTAGACGGTCTTGTCCACCAGAGAAGCGAGGCGAGAACCCTTGGGGGGA